TTACATTTCTTTCATGAATGAGCAATGTGTAATGTATTCTCATAAGACTGCATCTCCTTTCATTTATCAGTACTGTACTGGCTTATAATGGCAGGATCCCATGAGGATTGTATAACATTATAAGGAGGGCCACATGTTCATTTCCCCTGACATAAAGATCTAAGAGATTGCTGTTACACTCAATGGGCCCAGAAAGAATTAAGGGTAAAGAGGCTGGTGACTGTGACGTTCATGCCGTGGCCCCTGCTTGTTTCACCAAACACAGGGCTCACACGAATAGCCCAACATGCCCTTTAAGACGCTGCCACCAGTTGATCTCTTTATCAACCTATATCTCCTATGAAAGACTGAGGTCCATTCAGTACTGAACTTTTAAACAGAACCAGGTTTATTGATTACAAGTTGTTTTTGGAATAATTCTTAAGCACATTCTTAAAGTTACGCAAATCTTCAGTAGTTTACTTTAACCTCTTCTGTCTCAATTAATACAGGTCACACTCTGGCTAATCACTCCTTAAACACACACACACTCTGCCTCAAACCCCTTCTTCTCTTTCTCTGACTGAACTAACTAGACTCTCTATATATAGGAAGACAGAGTGTTTGCTACATAGACATTATTGAGGCATAAGGTTTTCTGGCCTCTGTCCATCAAATAGAAATTGTAATAGAAAGTGACACATTTAGTTCTGTTTGACACTCTGGCTGTTGGCTTGTGGCATCCTTGAGTTTTGTCCTGTATACTATTTCATATACACATAAAACCTTTGGGAAAGATTGTCCAATGTCTTGGAATTTTATGTTACCAGTATGCAGATGACACCCAACTTTGTCTCTACTTTGAGGAAGCTGTTTCAGTTCTAAATCAGTTTAATCCAAACAAGACAGAGGTACTCCTGGTCAGTTGAAAGACAGATCTGGGAATAGTGATTCAGCATGTTATAGAATCCTTAAATATTATAAATGTGAAAATGTGCATGTCTGTGTTCCCTTATTTCAGGGGTGGGCAATTAATTTCTATAGGTGGGGCACATGAAAAATCTGAACTGTGTTCGGGGGCTGAGACAATTTTACTTAAAAATAAAATGAAACAGTGATGCCATGATTGTTTTTATTTTAAACTTGTTAAACTTCACAAATACTAAAGAGTTTTTTTGTGGTATGTTAAAGATAAGCAACTGATCAACTTTAGACAAAAAGCTATCTGTGGGCTGGACAGGAGCGGCTCGCAGGCCGTATGTGAACCTCGGGCCGCACTTTGCCCACATCTGCCTTATTTATTTTATTTTTATGCCACCTTATCCCAATTATGAGACCCCCAAACAGCTCACAAATTATTAAATATTTAAGTAAAACAGTTGAAATACATTAAATATAAGTTTAAACTACATGAAAGAATAGTATGCAACACTCAAAATTAAAACTCATTGCCCAAATAATTGTTAAAAGTCTGTCTAAAAAGTACGATCTTCTTTCACCAGAAGGACAAGAGGAAGAGGGGATCAGTCCATCAGTAATAACCAGTAATATCACTTAAACCTGGAAATGGTCCAACAGGCAATGCAACTGTTGTAACAAGGCATTTTGAACAGCTGAAATTTCCAAACCATCTTCAAAGCCATCCCCACACAAAGTGTGTTGGAGACTGTGTTGTAGTAATCCAAGTGGGTTATAACTAAGGCTTGTGTCACTTAGCCAAACCAGACATCACCAGGAACAGACTCAGCCAGCACACAAATTTAACTTTCCAAATGCAGTCCTGGCCACTGTGGAGACATGAGCATCTAGGCTCAAGGATGAGTCCAGAAGCCTGAGTTGTGAGTAGGAGAGTAACCCCATTCAGCACAGGCTAGATTCCTGTTCCCTGATCTGCCTTTTCATTGACCGGGAGCATCTCCATCTTGTCTGGGTTAAGTCTTTCTTGCATCCCAAATTTGTTATGGTCTAAAAATGTGAACCTTTCAAGCAGAGATTAAATAGATTTGTGATACTTTTAGTGCAGAGATAGGAAAACAACGAAATTGGCAATGGATATATTTGTCGCGTTACAGCCCAGACAGTGATGCTATGTTTACTATGAATGAAGAACAAAAAGAAGGGAAGTAATGAGACTCCTGCTTCAATGGTTCACTCAGTTAAAGGTGTAGCACTGCTCTACAGAGGCAGAATTATCTGAATAAATCTTTTGGCAACCTTGTAATACAGTGCACACTTGTTTGAGAGTACTGTATGCTTCATTGAACTCAGTTTTTGAGTAAACATGACGCAATCAATTTGCAATTTTCCTTCATTTTCTAAGAGCTATGCTTTGTAAATTAAATTATGCCAGCTGGCAAATAAATATGTATCTATAGAACTTAATCCCACTGCACAAACAGTTCACGTGTTCATGTGTTTTATTTATTTACTTTTTGTACATAATTTTAGACTCAGGTTTAATTGTTTTTTCTTTGTAATTTTTACATTTTATTATACAGTAGTTATTTTCCAAAAACAGAAATGAGTTCACCATTCATTTTTAGAAGACTATTTAAAAGACAAAAAGGAATATTGGAATCATGCAATTCTATATCTACAAGAAAGCTAGATATACTACAGCAGAAGTACCTTAAATACCGTATAAGACTTTGGTAATGTATGAGGTTGTCTTCATACAAAACATTTCTGTTTCTCTTTGTACTGATTAGTGTTAGTTGATCATGTAATGGTTGTTGTAGGTTTTTCAGGCTGTTTGATTGTGTTCTGAAGGTTTCTCTTCCTAATGTTTCACCAGTCTCTGTGGCTGGCATCTTCAGAGGACAGGAGTTAGAACTCTGTGTTCTGGTGTAGTGTGTGGGATATTTGAGTATTTATAGCTGTGGGATCAGTTTTTTGTCCTTTTCAGGAGACTGGGTGATTATGGTGATCAGGGTGTTTTTACTATGTGTATTGTTGTGATAAGAGGGAGGAGATGATATGTCACTGTGATTGATGGGTGTCGTTAGCTAGACTTTTGTGTGCAGTGGTCACCGGTTCTTGTGGCTGGGTAGAGTTCATTGACCTTTTTGCTGGCTTTATTTTTCACTGCTGGGAGACAGGCTTTGTTGAGTTTTAGACTTTCTTCTTTTTTGTTGAAGCTCTGTTTGTGGATTTCAATGGCTTCCTTGTGTAGTCTAACATAATGATTGCTGGTGTTGTTTAGTACATCTGTGTTTTGAAATAAAATTTCATGTTCAGATTATTTCAGGGAATGTTCAGCTACTGCCAATTTTTCTGGTTGTTTTAGTCGGCA